ATGTTAATGAAGAGGGATTAGTGTGGGGTATATCTTGAGTCAATATCTTTTGAAATATAAAAGAGATAAATAAACAAGCAGAGCAGAGATGAGGTAAGATAGGTGCCAAGACACATAGAGATCTTCCCAGAACCAGGAAGCAGAAGCTAAAGAGACAAGGATATTCCTCCAGAGCCAATAGTAGCATAGTGGCTAAAGGCAATTGACTGCTAACCAGGGGGCTGGCGGTTCAAATCCACCAGCAACTCCTCGGAAGGAAGATGGGGCAATCTACTTCCGTAGTGATACTGCCTCGGAAACCCAAGGAGGGGTCGCTATGAGTCGCGTCCGACTCGACGGCACATAACAACAACAACAACAACAGCTCAGACTACTAGCTCCCTAAATTGTAAGTAAATAAATTTCTGTTGGTTAAAGCCATCCACTTGTGTTATTTCTGTTTCAGCAGCACTAGATGACTAAAGGTATCTGGTGACTTGCTTTGGGCAATTTATATGTGAATAGAATTTACACCCATTTTCCAGGCAGAAGCTTTGAGGACCAGTACCTGGGTCACCATGACACTTCCATAGCTGTGATGACTATGAAAGCATCAGTCTCAGTCTCTGACAGACCAGAACAGGGCCACCTGACCATACTGGACATGAAGTGTAAGGAAGAAAATGTGTCAAGACACTGAAATTTGGCTTATCATGACATCCTTCTCTATCCCACATTTAAATGCACTTATTTTAAATCTACAATTCCTGATGGCATAGTGGTTAAAGTGCTGTGCTACTAGCCCAAATATTGGCAGTTCAAGCCCACCAACTCTCCTGCAGGAGAAAGATATGGCAGTCTGCTTCTATAAAGATTTACAGCCTTGGAAACCCTATGAGGCAGTTCTGCTCCATCCTACAGGGTCACTATGAGTCGGAATCAACTCAGCAACAGTGGGTTTGGTATGGTTTTGAGTATTTTAAATCTCATTAGTTTCAAGGATCAACAGTTAACATACTGAACTATACTTGCTTATTTAAATGTCTGCCTGTGTCACTAAACTATAAGTCTCTTGAGAGCAGGGACTGTGTCTTATTTAATTTTTATACTCACTGCTTGCATAGAACCTGACACAAAATAAGCACTTAACAAAATGATGCATTGATCCCCTTCTGATGAAAACTGGAGGGAGAAAAGAAGACTGCTTCTTGTAAGTGCTTACTGCCTTCAAGAAACTTCTTTTTTAATTCTTGCCTATTCTGGACAGGAGATAAAAAAAAAAAAATCTTGAAAAAAATGAAATGCCCTGTTCTTATCGATACAGATCATTCAGGTAGAAGTGTTTGGAATCCGGACCAGGGCCAAATTCAGGTGCGGAGAGATCCTGGATGATGAGCTAAACATTCTGAGGCTGGAGTGGGTTTTGGAATTGTGTGGTCACATTTGCTCCCTGCTTCAGGCAAACTATAATGAAGCACTGCTGAAACTAACAGGGATGGACTCTAACGGTTCTTAGGAGGTTTCACGGAAATAATTACAGGTGACTCACATCTGGGACTTCAATTCAGAAGAAAAAGTTAAATAGATGTGAATATATTTCAATTATTTAAACCACATTTATTATTTAGTTATATCCAACACAATTTAATCCTAACTAATTCATGTGCTCTTCCAGCCTCTCTTGTGGCTAAGGCAAAGGCCTGTGTCCCAGGCTCTGCTAATTGCACTTAAGACCTAGATATCAAAGGAGTAGGGCCTCAGAGCAGAATGTGTATTCTGGCAAGAGTAGTAGTAGAAGGATTAGGATTTTGGAGGCTGCAGTGCTGAAAGCCTGGCAACCAATGCCACAGGTCACCGTGAAGGGCTATGGTGCTTGTGCTCTGAACTGGCTGTGGGGCCTTCTACAGAATGATCCCACATGTGGTCACCACACTTCCTAGTTCACAGCTTCCGGATCCAACAATGAGCTACCTCATACCTCTACTCAATTCCTTCTGTTTTAGCATGAGAAATCCTCAGTGATATGCCAGTACCCTTAGGTAAAGATCTTTTCTTTAATACCTTAATCCCTATTCCACCTACTTCAAACGACTACATGATTTGTCCACTACCCAAGATTTGTCCTGGACTTGGGTTTAACTGACCTTTTTGTCTACTTCTCTGGGTTTAGCAGACACGGCAGTCACTCACCAAAACTGGTTCTCCCATTTTTCTGTAGAAACAGGGTTTTAACCTGAGACTAGATATAGCCACACAACTGAGTCTCACCCGTGTGAATGATCATAACATACACTATTTCTGCTTCGTGTGTAGAATGGGAAAGTCCTTTCTAGGCTATTTTTCTCTCTTTACATCGTGATATTCGTAACAGCTCCAGTGAACTCTATGAGGAAGCAACGAAGTTCGTGCCAGGGCCACAGATGGAAGAAGCCTGAGTCCCTGAACAGCACTGTGGAGCAGGACTGCCCCCACCAACCTGGACTGTTGCCATGGATCTGTGACATGAAAGAAAAATCAACTTCTCCTTTCTATAAGCTGCTGTCTTGTCTCTTTCAACTTCATCACTTCTCTAAGACAGTGATGAGAGGGAAAATTCAGCATGGAACTTGTGACTAACAATGGTGATGACAGACCATTGTAGGAGATAACATGCAGGCAGCCATGCCCACAAGAGGAGAGTTCCCCGTCCCCATCCAGGAGACACACTGATGGGGTGTGAGCACGAGAGAGTCAAGGAGCCCCAGGTCTTGGGACCTAAGCTAGATCTTAGCCATAATGCACTTATCTTTTTTTGGTTGCCTAGATTTGAAGCACATAGATGTGCTATTTCTACTCCAGACTTTGGAATGTTTGTTTTCATCTTTCACATTGTAATTTGGCCACAGCGTTTAGAAAATGGTTTCATTTGCAACCGTCTTCCTTTATTAGGTCGGGTTTTCAAGCATTGAGTCATTTTGTTCTTTTTCCATTGTTAATTAATCACTTTTTAAATTCCAAACCTAATATTTTAGCTTCAATATAGTAAGGCCTTTTGAATGTAAGTTTCTATATCAGGAGTCAACCAATTACAGCCACTTATTTCTGAAAACAAAGTTGTACTGGAATACAGCCCTGCTATTTGTTTAAGGATTGTCTATGGCTGCTTTCACATGAGGGCAGGGTGGAATGGTTGGCAGAGACCATGTGGCCTTCAAAGCCTAAAATATTTACTATGCGACCTTTAGACAAAATGTTTGCCTTACTCTGCTCTAGATATATACTGGTTTTAATATTTTTATTCTAATTACTTCTCTTTTATCATAGTGTCACCCTGACTTCTATTACTTTTTTCCCTTTTAATGTTATCACTTCTATCTTTAAATTCTGCAATTTTAAAGCTTAATAAACCCTTAGTTTAATTAACTTGTACGTTACCAGGTTCATAAACTTCTAGCTTGCTTAACTTTTATCTTACCACTTTTATCTTTTTTAATTAATCATTTACTTCTTCACTACTTTTAATGTTACTCCTCGTGCTCCCTTTTCATTTAATAACTACAGGAGGTACACAGCAGACAGTGACCATCTGGACAGACCCCAATAAGTCTCTTTGCCAAATTGTCTTCACTTTGGGCCAAGTCTCAAGTTCGTGTCTCAGTAAATCCCACATCCACAATCTGGCCATATGAGCCACATGGTTCTCCAGTGAGTCCTGCTCCTTTGTGGATGGCCTGACAGTAATGCCTACACCACCTCCTGAATGGCCAGATCTACACTGTGGACCAGCAAAGGGGCCTGCCCATCTCAGGTCAAGGTTTCCAACTGACAGCTACAACTCATCATCACTTAAGCCACAGACAGCTAGGGGCTCATTCCACCAGGCACGTTGATTTAAAATCTTCTGACCTTTATTTTATATTACCAGAGGTGGAGATAGCTGTCTCCAGAACTCTAAATCCCAATCAGGACTGTAAAGTTCTACAGGGCCTTGCCTAGAAATAATTCTTTCCAACTTAAATTGAACATACACTATGTTTGAGGCATCATGGTCAACATCAGAGATAAAAAGTCAAATAAGACATGGATTCTCTCCTCAAAGAATTTATGCTCTAGTTAGGCAAAAAAAAAAAAAAAAAACCAAGTGGAACAATAGTTACAAGACACTAGGATATGTTCTGTTGAGATTTATTGTGAGAACAGAGAGGAGGGGCATCTGAATTAGCGAGAACTTCCAGGCAAAGCTGACAGAAGGTAGTCCTCCAGAACCCCACTCCCCTGTGACTGCTCAGTCAATTCCCCACTACCCAGGCACCCTCAGAACAACACACACAGGTCCTTATGTACTCAACAAAAGCTGAATATGAATTAAGGCCTCACACAAGGAAGGAGGCTGCCTTCTGTAGTGATGATCTCCATGGGGGGGGGGGGACAGAGGGACATGGAAAAGGAACAGAAATGAGCAAGAACCCTTATTGCCCTGTCCTCTCACTCCTCTACAACCTCTACAATCCATCCAGGCCCTGCCCTGGACACCAGAAAACAGATGGAAGACACTCCCACCCTCAACCACCACTACCATAGTTACTTCTACATCCAGGTAGCCAAGAGAACAACACATGGCAGGTTTGGCTCAGTCCTTCCACGCAGATCACACAAGGCTAGGGCAAGGACCTTGTGGGAGTAAGATCCCCCACGTGGCATTCTGGTCTCACAGGGCAGAGTAGGAAAATCCAGGCTGAGCGGTGCAGACGAGGAATCCTGGTGGCTCCTTTAAGCAGAGATGATAGTAAGGGAAGGCTGATCTGGTTGGTTTCAGTGCAGGGACAGGAGGAGGGAAATGGCTGAAGGAAAGTGATGGCTGAGGCTTTAAAGAGCCAAGATGGGGTAGAGTTGGAATAGAGCAAAGGGGGCTAATAAGGACTTGGGAAGATGAATGGAGGGAAAGGCAGGAGAGGGTTGGTATTAGGGGTAGGGGGAAACCAGGTATTCTGTAGGACCAGGAACTGGCTGGCTCCTCTTCCCATTTCCTGGATTTACAGGCCCTACTTATTGCCCCACAGGGCCTGTTTTCCGAAGACAGGGTGTGGGAGGAATTTGCTGGACTTCATGTAGGCAGAGATCCTCTTCAGGCCCTGAGGGTGAGAAAGAGAAGGCCAGAGCTCAAGTTTGCTGCCTCCTTAAAGAATCTAGTAAAATAACTCAGTTTTTCAAAATCTCTTATCCTAATGAGAGCTCTCACATATGGGAGACCCTACACAGCCAGGTACTTTACATTTACAAGAGATTACAGTAAAGATTAGAAAATTCTCCAGGCTACTATCTCCATTTATCAGTATGGAAGCTGAAGTGCACAGAAATTAAACACCTTCCTCCTGCTCACTGAGCCAGTGCTGGGCCAGGGCTGGAATTCAGCCTGGCTGCCTCTCCCCAGTCCCGGGCTACTCCTGCTGCACTTGCTGCCCTCCCCACCCCCACAGGAGGACACCCCACTTCCACTGGAACAACTTTCTCCTTTAGCAGAGGGAGGCGCATGGTTCATAACCAGCACCCTGGGGTTTGCACACAAAATGGGGCCTGAGCAGGACAAAGCGGCTTAGAACATGCCTGTGAGGCCTGGGAAAGAGGCCCAGAGCTCACGGAATGACTCAGCAAATCTGCATGAAGTTGACAGCGGGAGTTGGACTAGCAAAGCCAGACAGAACCAGGCTCAAATTATTCCACTTGCAGGAAAGAGTCCAAGCTTCTCTGTTAACTGAGCCGAATCTCACTATGCCCCAACCTACCTCACCTCTAGCTAAGATGACCAGGCCTTAAGACACTCAGATGTGTGTTCTGGGCCACCATAACACAATAGATATTTTTTAAAGAAGTCAAGGAAATCTGAACCTTCCAAAACCCAATGGGATCAAGTCCCAGCAGACTGCAGGCCTCTGTTGACAGCTGCCTTTCACAGTTACCTTAGCTCTTTTGTCAACTTGGCTCAACTAGGACTAAAAGCAATAGTTGATGAGAACTAGCTAAGAAAGCAGATCTACTGGTAGGAAGGGGTAAAGGAGCAATAACTCTAGGTTAAAAACCCTTTGGGGCCACTGTCTCAAATTCTCAAATCTGTAATCAAGTAGATTGAGTTGCTCTCAAACCAACTCAACATGTGTGATGGATGACTGGCTGTGAGGTGAGGTCCAGGCTGTGTTCCCCTAGAACCCAGTTAGCGCCACAAACATCCCACAAACTTGCTATGGCTATAGTTATCCAACCATGCTGAGCTCCTGGAGGGTGGCCTCCAGGGCAGGGCCATCTTTGCAGGCCCTACTATGCCTGATCCAGTGCCTCATCCACAGGACACCATCACAAGGGGCAGAAAAGTGGAGCACGGGACACTCTGAACACAGAACACTTAAAGATAATACACTTTAATAAATATTCAAACACCAGCACTTCTACACACCTGGGAACTTCAGAATGTGCCCAGACATGGATTAGGTTGGCACAAAGCTTTTTGGAGCTCAAGTATAAACATTGTCTGTGTCTTTGAAACTATCAGTCCTACCTTGTTTCAGTTCTACTACTGCCAGCTATACAGTCACTCCTCAAGTTCTGCCTTATACTTTCCTGGCTTGTGAAACTCAGGCTAAAAAGGGTCTGAACTTTCCCTTTTAGCAGAGGAAAGCCACTGGTTACTACCCAAAGTATCTGACAGGAAGCCTAGCGCAGCCTGTACTGGCTCTGTGACCTTGAGCAAGTTCCTTACCTCCTTCAGCCTGCTTCTTCATCTGTAAAATGGGAGTGATAATTCTATCTACTTTATAGCAATGTTGGGAAGATTAAATCTGGCAAAATTTATGTAAGATGCTTAGCACAACCAAAAAAACCAAATTCACTGCCATCAAGTTGGATCCGACTTATGGTGATCCTTCCTTTCACTTCTGAGGTGGTATCTCTACAGAAGTAGATTGCCCAATCTTCCCTATGAAGAGTGGCTGGTGAGTTTGAACCTCCAGCCTTCTGGTTAGCAGTCAAATGCCTTAGGCAGTATGCCACCAGAGTGCCTATGCTTAGCACAGGCCAGAGAATAAAGCAAATGCTCCATAAATGCTAGTTTTTGTTCATTTTAGCTCTAAAACCAGAAAAGCATCATGAACAAGGAGAAGGAAAAAGAAAAGGGGGAAAAAGGGAGCATCACCTCAAAGCGGGCCATGAAGTCCTTCAGGTTTGGGAATGCATCCAGGCACTTGGGCTCAAAGATACGGTGCTGGTCAAGGACATCATAAGCAAGAAAATCCACAAAGGTGATCTGCAGAAAGCCAAGGATGAGTTGGTGAGAAGCTGTCAGCTGAAAGCAATGACAACTCCATTGCCATTTGTCTCCTTCCCCCTTTACCTTATCGCCTGCAAACCATGGCCGCTTCCCCAGGAACTGTGAGAACAGCCTCATCTTCTCAGGGAGCCCCTCCAAGTACTGTGGCTTCAGCTTCTCCTGAGGCAGAAAACAGCCATCACCTTCTTCAGATGCTGCTCCCTGGGCAGAGTCAGCTCCCCTAGTTCTGGGATGACCCAACTGCCCAGGGGCAAACCACCATCCTCCCTTGACTGTCCCTGGGCTGGTGCCCAGGCTTCCACTTAATCCAACCAGCATTTTTTAGACCCCCTACTATGTATCATGGGAGCTCTGGTAGCATAGTGGCTAAGGCACTTGACTGCTAACCAGAAGGCTGGCGGTTCAAACCCACCAGCCACTCCTTGGAAGGAAGGTTGGGCAATCCTACTTCCGTAGTGATACTGCCTCAGAAACTCAAGGAGGGGTCGCTATGAGTCGGGGCCGACTCAACGGCACATAACAACAACAACAACAACAACTATGTATCAGCCCCATCAATCAGAGGCATGAAAACACAGAGAGGAAAAGGACACTGACTGGAATCTGTCACCACTCATCTCCATCAACCCGCCCACTGGTCAGACCCAGGAGTGCTGGAAGGCCCTGGCTGAGTGCACAACTCACATGTAAGGGAGGAAGAACTACAAGAGCTCAGGAAAAGAAGTAGAAGTTCTAGCTTGTGGAGTGGCACAAGAATAAAGAGGACATTTGAGTAGTTTCCTGAAAGATGAGAATTGGAGACACTAAAAAGGAGGAGGGCATTCTTGCAGAAACAAAGACTCTGTGGTGACACTGTGTGGCTGACAATCAGGATATGAGAATCCTGCCAGCATCAAGGGAAACACAGGGAAAACAAGTTAAACACGCTGTTTAATTTAATTCCCACATTGGGGAGTCTAGATTTGATCCTAAAATTTAAGGAGATTGATTCAGAGTTTTCATTCAATGAGATTTAGGGTAATGAAGGGCATTCTGGCAGCAGGATAGGAGAGCCCCTGGAGGATCCGTAGCTCTAAGGAGTTCAAAGGGCAAACAGGACCACTGTAAATAGGAAGGAAGAGTCCCAACTCCCAATCCAAACCTGCCCTGGACCAGCCAACAGATACTCACAAAGTCAGGGCTGTAGCACAACCTGGCCAGCTCCATGCGGGTGTCCATAACCTGATTCTCCAACATGTCCACACGGATCTCCTCCTCTTCTGTCTCTCCACCTGCAGCCCACACATCAGACATTCACCCTCAGCATCCCACCCTAACCAAGCCCAGGGAATAGCCTGTCTGGCCATCAGTGCCCTTGTCCTACTTACACATGTTGTGCTTGCGAGCAATGTAGCGCAGGATGGCATTGCTCTGGGTGATCTTGTGAGCCCCATCAATTAAGTAGGGCAGCTGCAAGGGCAACCAGGCAGGTCTGTTATACCACCAGGCTCCACAACACCCTCTTCCCCTGAGTAAGGGCAGATCTGGGACCTGGCACACTCAGGGCCTGGCCCATGCTATTGTTATGTGCCATCAAGTCAGACCCAACTCATAGTGACCCCTCCTTGGGTTTCCAAGGCAGTATCACTACGGAAGGAGATTGCCCAACCTTCATTCCGAGGAGTGGCTGGTGGGTTTGAACCGCCAGCTTTCTGGTTAGCAGTCAAGTGCCTTAGGCACTATGCTACCAGAGCTCCTGGGGCCTGGCCCATAGTAGACACTAAATAAATATATGGACAGCATGTGCCTGATCTGGAACCTAGAATACTATGGAAAGGCAGTGAAGAGAACCAGGAATAAGAGAGGTGGAGCAGAAGTCACCGGATCCTAAAACCTCCAAGCCGGTGAAAGGAGATGGAGGGACAGACACCTTTCACTTCCCCCACGCCCTGCACCTACATTGGGAAAGTCCAGGCCCAGCTTGAATTTTTCATTCAGCCACTGGCTTCTGTCATAGTAAGGAGCTAGAGTGGAAACAAAGAAATGAAAACAAGCTTCCTCAGGGCCCAAATTCCCTTCCCCAGAAACCATTCCAACAGGCACTGCAAGACCCCCTGAGACAGGTGGCTGTGGAATCTGACAGAACCACTAAGTCTCACACTCCCAGGAGGAAGGCTTACAAAAGGTTTGTTGTTGTTGTTGTTATGTGCCGTTGAGTCAGCCCGCCTCATAGCGACCCCTCCTTGGGTTTTGAGGCGGTATCACTAGTGAAGTAGATTGCCCAAACTTCCTTCCCAGGAGTGGCTGGTGGGTTTGAACAAAAGGTTTAGGTAGCTCTAAGAGGTAACGCCCTTCCAATCCTGGATAAAGGGTGGGGGCAGCAACTCCCTCCCAGCATCCTGAACAGGCAGGCAGAGCTGCACAAGCCAAGTGGGTCCCGGGAAGGGGCAGACCCAGATCTGACAGGTGGAGACCCTGCAGAGGTGGGCAACAGGTAGCAGGGCACGGGCTGTTTGTTACCAAGTCAGCATTAGTTGGTAGAGGGGCCATTACCGTCTCCCATCGTGTACTTCTTCTCCTCATAGTTTGAGTCTGTGTACTCCAGGAGCAGGCGGATGGCATGAGCCAGCTAGGACAGAGCACAGGGAAGGGGTCAGAGTTGGAGGGATCTGACTGCCTTACTTCATCTCCTTCAGGTAAGCTGGAGCCAAGAGGGACAGGCGAGAAACACTCAGAGAGGTCTCTCCTGTTGCCTCCCACTATGCCTCCACCCCCATCCCCATCAGGGCCCAAAATACCCAGCCTGGAGAGCAGGCTGCCTGTTGGAACTGGGCTCCAGCAAAGACCGAAAGAGGAATCTTACAGAATCTATCCCTGAGCAGCTCGGCACTTCCTCGCTGTCCCACTCCCATCCCATCCGGCTAGGTGGATCCCTTGCTTACCCCTCGGAGGTCCCAGTAACCCAATATCATGGCCATGGTGCACTCTTCCGCGGACTCAGCAGACAGACCTCCAGAGCCTTGAAGTCAATACCTCTTCTGGACAGTCGAGGGGCGGGTCGATCCCAGACGCTGGGATCTGCCCCTCCCCCCGCCCCTCCCCGCTGCTTGTGCGCTAGTCTCCACACCCACTTTTCGCCCAAGCACACCCACCTTCTGGCCTGAAGACTTCCGATTGGGGCGCTAAGTTCAGAAGACTAACTCAAGAAATTCATTGCCCTCATAGTGACCCCCAGCCTCAGGCGGTAAGGTGGATTCCGGGGATTTGGTTTATTGTTCTTACAAGTTTTCCTACAGGGAGGCCATGCACCAATCCACATACGTAAGTGCCTGCTCCTCTGAACAGTTCTGCTTCTTTTTATACATTAAGGGTTGATAATTCTAAATTTTATGCATCTTGGAAGAAAAAAAATCACTAGATTCAATAGAGAAAATAAACAGGATAAAGGATTTTTTTTTAAGCGCTAAGATCCAATAGAACGATAACTTTATAAATATGTGGAACAGATATTACTAAATTAGTATTCATCCATTCTGTCATTCAGTCAAAAAAGAATCTTTGAGATCCTGGGATGTACTGCTGCTGCTGCTGTTGTTGTTAGGTGCTGTCAAGTCAGTTCCAGACTCATAGCATCCCTATGTACAACAGAAGGAAACATTGCCTGGTCATGTGCCATCCTCACAATCCTCGCTATTGCTGAGCCCATTACTGCAGCCAGTATGTCAATCCATCTCATTGAGGATCTTCCCCTTTTTCTCTGACCCTCCACTTTAACAAGTATAATACCCTTCTCCAGGGAATGGTCCCTTCATGAATAAGACAATCCAAGAAGACTGGATTTTTTTTTTTTTTTTTTGGCCGTTGTTGCTATAAAGTATACATATATAACACAATATATGTCAGTTTACAACTTTTCAGGTATAAAATTTAGTCATATGAAATACTTTAATCATGTTGCATAAGATCACCCACAATCACTGCCAAATTTCCAAGGAGGCTGGCTATTAAAAGTTGAAGTAGGGTGGGAACTACAAAGGATATGTTTTTGTTTTAATATGGGGCATGATTTAGTGTATTTAAACACCCAAGAGGTAGTAGTGAGGGAGACAGGTGGAGTGCAGGAGAAAGGCAATGCTTGCTTGGATAGGGTCTCTGAGGGCATGGGAAGATGGGGCCCAGATCACAGTGGACCCTTTAGAAAGAGGAGTCCAATTCTGAAAGAGGAGAAGGAAGACTAGACAATCAGATTCTCAAACCCAGGATCTACATGGACAGAGGTTAAAAAAAACACCTCACTGCCACAGAGTCGATTCTGACTCATATGACCTCCATTGGGTTTCCAAGGCTATAAATCTTTATGTAAGCAGACTGCCTCCTCTTTCTTCTGCAGAGCAGCTAGTGGGTTTCAACCTTTGACCTTTTGCTTAATAGCCACACGCCTCAACCACTATACCTCCACATGGACCAAGAGGCTCTTGCAAATAGGTGAAATAGATCGCTGAAAAGACAAGAGGGAACAGTAGTTATTAAGGTTTCCATGGGTAGTATAAGCAGTTGGTGTCACTAGAGGGGTGCAGCGGGTCTGGACCACACTGGGTGGCACTGTCAGGGTGACAGCAAAATGACTATCTGTGTTAGACTGGGTTCTCTAGAGAAACAAAACCAGTAAAGTTTATATATAGAGAAAAAGAGAAATGTATTTTAGGAAAATGGCTCACACACTTATAAAAGCTGGCAAGTCCAAAGTTCTTGGATCAAACGTCAAGCTGGAGGCTTTTCCCAACTCACGCAGCTGCAGGTGCTGAGGAGCTCAAGATTGGCAGGCAGTACACCGGCTATTGACTCCAACAAATGACAAATCTAAGATCTCCATGCCGAATGGTGGATTGTTTGCTCACAGACAGTTGTAGGCAGCACAACAGAATCCCGATCCACAGAAGAGTGTCTCTTTTCCCAGGATGTCCATAAATATACTAGAAGCAGGCCACACCCCTAGGGAAACTCCCTTTCAATGAATTGGCTGCTCAAAACATATACATCTGATCCCATCATGGGAAAAACCACATCACAGCTGCTTAAACCACACAGAATAGTGGTCCAATCAAGATGACACACAGCTCCAACTATCACACTATGTGGGGGCAACATTCCGCCCAAGGAACACAAAACATAAAATTTTGTTCCGTGTTTCAGTAGAAATTTATTATTTTTTATAAGGATGTCCCCGTAGTTATTTATAACAACAAAAACATTTATATCTACTGTGGTGGTTAAGTTTGTGCCAACTTGGCTGGGCCTGATTGAGTGGCTGGGCAGCTGAATGTAGTTACTCCCCATGGTGAGACTGGTAATTAACTCCATGGTGGAATCTACTGGAGCAGCTGAGTAGCTGCTTTGGGTATGCAGTCTGCTTCCTGTATATAAGCAACAGCTTTGGGAATGGTCTCTAGCTTATGACACGCTTGGACCCTGCATGTAGCCGGGTCGTCGTTCAGCAGCCTGCCATGCTCTGCCGATCTTGGGACTTTTAACGGACTTGAATTAATGGGCTGCCGTGTGATTTGGTAACATCAGGTGCTGCGTCCAGCAAAACTGCACAGGTCATGAAACAAAGCGACACGAAAGGATTAAAAGTTTTTTAAAAGGAACGGGGGCCAGGCAGACACCCTGCATTTTCTGCAAGAGCGACCCCTGATGCATCCGTCCTGCTTTACTTATACATAAGCACACAATTACATCCTTATTCTTGATATTTCCTTAAAACAATCAGATATTCTTCTACAGTAAAATCAAATATTTCCTTATAACAATCAGTTATTAATTGAAAGTTAAAGTTTTACTCTTTCCCGTATCCAAAGGCATTTTCCCATGCCCAAGTGTATTGGATAATTAATTGGGTTAATATCTCTTACAGGAATAGCAAATAATCACTAAGATATATCATTCTAAAACATAATATGATTGTTAAGGTACCTGATTCTAAAGAATGGTTTCTAAAGCATACTATTCTTAGGGCAAAACATTATCCCAGGGAAACAGGTTAGCAAACATTCTGGTGGGGCAACATTCCGCCCGAGGAATACAAAGCTGGAGCCAAGCAAGCATTCAGCCGTAGGAGAGGTCTTGTCTTCTCTTAGCTGTTGTTTGAACATGTGCCTTGAAATCATGTCCTTTTTTTGGTGGTCTTTTTCTTGGTCTCCAACATTTCCTCCCTTTTTATTTCTTAAATGAAGTAAATGTACTTCAATAGTTAAAGATTGACTTAAACATTGAATTAATCTCAGGACCCAAAGAATAACAAGTAATATGATTAAAAACATTATTACATATGGTAAAAAATGATATAAAATGTAGGAATGCTCTTAAAATGGTTAAGACTTTTAAATTCATCAAGCATTGAATTTGCAACTTGTTTTGGATCAATCATGGGTGTATGGCTTTGAATATCTTTATGGAATTCATGAATTTCAAAACTAATATTTGAACTATGCCAAACTCCTAATATTCTCATTTTTATTTTTTCCGAAGTGAATTCAGGATCACTGAAATTCACAGAGTATGATGTCACATATATGTATTCATACCGACAATCACAATGTAATGCCTGCCTTACTCTTACCACTTCTAACTCATCTCCTAATGACAGTACTGCTTCCTCTAACATATCTACTTTGAGTTTAAAATCCTGATCAATATTTTCTTGATCTACTAATGCCTCTACGGTATTTCGGGCAATCTCATTTGCATATTGGGCTGTCTGAATAGAGGATTGTAGTGCAACAGCAGCCACAGTCAGAGTAGTTATCATTGTGGCAAGAGCAGTTATGCCCGCAATCAAAAGTCCAATAAAGTGCTTAGATCTACTAAGCCCTTGATGTACTAAGTACAGTGAATGTTTTCCTGCTGAATGAAACCATTCACCTGAAATGTTTACTGGTAAGGTTATATAGTATGGTTGTGTTACCATTAATACATACTGATCAGTTGAAGTTAAGCACTGAGTTAACAGTTATTACAAGTCACATTCCAATAATAGTATCCTAAAGTATCATTAGTTTCAAAAATATTTAAACAACTTATGTTAGTATTTGTAGTACAATTATTATATCTATGTGCTAGCATAAGGGTGTTCAGGGGTCGAACACATGTTTGAATGTTGGTGCCATCTCCATGCATTTCTTACTGGTGAAATTGGATGGATTTCTCCCTGTTGAGTAGCCCCCAGGCCTTTATATGGGTCAAATCCTTGGAAACCATCATATCAGTAACTTGAGTGGTTGGCCTAAGTAATAATAATCCCATATTGCTTAATATATCCTGATCCCACGAATTTACAGGAATTTTTTCTAAAACATATGGTTGAAAATGCCTGATTTTCCTTCATTGTCTTCCCACTGCAGCATAGCACTGCTTCTAGCAGGGGTAGAAACTTCCCCTAAACTTCTTTTTTTATTTTTTCTTTTGATTTGGGTGAAGATTTACAGAGTAAATTCACTTTTCATACAGCAGTTCACATATACTTTGTCTCATGTCATTGACCAAAATTTACAATGCAACAG